TATTAAAGAAAGCGAATTAACTAACTAATTGAGCCAGACCTAATCTGAATTAGTTGAAGCGTAATATAGTTATTTTCCGTATAACGTAAAGTAGCAAACTCGGACGTAAACGATATAAAATAATTAACTTTAGTCATAATCCTATCCAACATAGCTCAAGAAAAGTAGTTGACTTAGATAGCATTGTTCTTACGATTTTCTATATACCAAAGGGTATTATTATTATTATATGTTCTTTTTTGTGTCTATGGTACATTTTTATAAACTAAACATAGCCAATATTGGACACGTGAATCGCGTCCGGTTATTCATTCTAGAAATTATTAACTATATAAATGAATTTACAATGAACAGCGTTCATATGTAGGCATTGTAGGCATTATTTAACACAAAATTCGGTCTTCTAAATGAATTTAAAAAAAAAATACTTTATACATTATCCCACTGATCCCAGATTCGTAGTCGAGCCTTATTTATAAGACCGTTTATGCATGGTCTTAAGACGCCACCTAAATTCATAATCGGTTTTTGAGATTTTTCTTGAGAACAATTCTGCCTTCATGAAGACATTCTTATCTGTATATACAGTAAATTCGCCCTAATTGGTCCTCAGCTTGTATTGATTATTTTTATAGCTATTGACAAAAAGGAGTCGCAAGGCTCGAATAATTGTATCTCCAAATTGTCTATTTTTGTGTACAAGCTGAGGACCAATTAGAGAGAATTTACTGCAATTGATAAATGCTCCTAGATTAACATAAACATCGTCTTAAGAGTCTTAAGCTTGATACATCATGCAACCTAATTTTTCCCATTTTCTTCTGTATTTTTATTTTAGCAACGGTACCACTTGTATGTCTCATAATATTACATTTATTGTAGTTCTTATATCTTACTTTTTCTTTTCATCTTTTGTACTGCATTATTATGTCTTAATTTTTATTGTGTTGTTATCATTATATTATTATTATTATTATAAAAGTGTAACTATTGTATAAGTCACAAGATTCAATTTCATACGCATACATGCAGGGTGTTCCATAATTATGTACCGCAAATAATTATATATTATATATCCATAATTATATACATAGAGCTGATTCCTGATGTCATTTCAAGTAACTTCTTCCTTAGCGAAACTGCAATCCGCAGCTTTGTTTACGAGTTATTAACGAAAAACACTGACCAATGAGTGGTTAGCTCGGTTGGCGCAAGACGGCCGAGCCAACGAGCGGACGAAACCCAGTTCCGCTGATTGGCTGGGCCGCCTCGCGCCAGCCGAGCTTGCCTCTCATTGGTCAGTGTTTTTCGTTAATAACTCGCGAACAAAGCCGCGGATTGCATTTTCGATGAGGAGAACATTACTTCAAATGAACTGAGGAACCCCATATTTCCCGGAAGTACCATAATTTTGGGACACCCTGTATATTGCACCAACATAAGTCATAGAAAATGAAAACACTCTAGACCGGAAAAACTATTTCGGATTAATAGTTAGCTTCGATCGCGAGGGGTTAAAAATGCTCATAAAAATTGAGCCATAAATCGAACACAAACTCCATGAATAGAACGATTAGGTTCCATAACAGCAAAGGAAATCAAACGGCGTACAAAATACACCTCGGATCGTTCCAAATAGAACCGTAACGTGTTCATGGGAGTTAATTCCGCCTTGGGAAGTTTCGTCTTAACTGCCGACGCGGTATAAATTGGTCAGCCGAAAAGCGCGGCTCCAGGAACGAAGGAAAGGAACGCGGGAGAACGACGGGGGACGTCTAATACATCATAAACTTGCGAACAAAGAGGAGAGCGAGGATGTCGTGGTAGCACCGGGGAATCCACCGGCTCCCGTTATCCTCGGGAACAAAACTTTGCCTATTTGTTAAGTCTTGCGCGCCGAAACTGTCTCAGATACTGCCGTCGAACTATGCCTCACACCTATGACCTCCTTAGTCTCATCCTTCTTCCATTCCCACACCCTCGCCAGACCGCTACCGCCTCCCCGATGCCTTGTCTCGGTGCATCCTTTGCCGGAACGCTGAATAGCGGTCACAAAGACGCATTCTGTTTCGCGAAATTCGTCCTCGGGCTTGGGAAATTGATGACACGCGAGAATTCAGTTTCGTCGAGGCGCGAACGGAAGAGTTTCCGGTGAAATATCGCTCTTCCACTGATCCTTCAGCACTTCGCAGCTATTCCGACTCGAGATAAAGCGTTGATAAATACGTGTTCTAGAAAGTCCTCCGTGTAACCACATTGAATCTTATGTTCGAAGAAATGTACGTTACAACTTCAATTTTATCGTGAAGCTTTACTTTGTGCAGAATTTTGTGCGAATTTCTATTTTCATAAATTACTTTTGTGAACCTTTGGACGAAGAGAAAATACGATTCATTGGTTGAAACTTGCCTTGCGGCGAAACCAAGACAGCTCTAAATCTATCACCACGATCTGATTTACTCCAGATATTTAGTTTGATTAAATCGAACTACATATTAGGTTGGTGCATATGAGATGTCGGATTTTTAAGTGAATATTTTATATATTACTAGAGATAAATGGCTGTTCTTCAAACTTTCGTACACGATTCCTTCAAATCATATTCAGCAAAACAATATCAGAATATTATTCTGATATTATTGTTATTATTATTATTGTTATTATTGTTATTCAAACGTAGGAAATGGATGTTCACTCTTTACGGCTGGAATTTTTCAAACTAAATTTAACGAGCTCTAAAAGTGACTGACGAGTCATGCTTTACAAGAATAACAAGACCGAATTCATTTAAACATCTCACAGTTTTTATATTATAATGTACGCTTCATTTAACGAATTTATTCAGTTATTTCCTACGAAAGTAACACTATAATTCCAACAATTTTAAACTACAAAATATGAAATCGGTAGATTTAGTGTTACATTGGTACACAAAAATTTATATTATTAGAAATTAACTGGTATTAATCATTTGAAATGGATTAACAACGGATTCACAAAAGATATTATTAGGTTGATGCGTATGAAATGTCGAATTTTTAAGCGAATATATAAAATTGCATATCTTTTTTCAGAAGCTGTTCATTTAATCAAAATATGCTCTATTTGCTTCAATAACTTTTCTCAACGAGATTTGGATGTATAGATGTCTCTCTTAAAGAAAAATTTTGATCTTTAGAATCAATACACTCTGATATGGAATTTTTCAGATTGTCTTCATTTTCATACTGTTTAGCCCGTAAAAACGATGGAAGTTGGTTAGCGAAAGATCCGGCGAATGAGTAACAGGAGTAAACTGAGTAAATTGAGTTTGAAAATTCGTTAGGTAGTCGTACACTTAGATAAAATCTTGTTTTATAGCTCGGGCCAACGAACCGAGCTGAGTTTAAATGCATTTTCTAGGAAATGAAGGCCTGTATGAAAACATTTTAGTCTATATTTTCAGCTAAGTCTTTTGTGAGTAATCATACTCTTGCCGCTTGTACCACAATTTTTTGAACACCCTCTAGAGTAAAATGAAGGAGAATGTTGAAATTGTCACGGATAATCATTAATATACGTTCATGTGATTGCTTCAAAAATAACCCTCTATTAACTCATTAAGTTTGCGATGTTTCAACGTAAATTGAACGATTAAGGACGCGCTAAAAAGATGACATCATCGTTCAACTACCGAGCCACAAATTCCTTGCACATGCACGAATCCCGTTACATCTTACAAAAAGCCGATAATCATAATTTTCGTGATTAACGAGCTTGGTCACCGGCGATTAAAATTATTCGCTCTTCGCACGGTGTATTTTGTAACGCGATCGGTTTATTTTCGAAAATCATGTTCAATAATAAAGGCAATCAAATAAGGCCAATCACACAAGCGTCCCGCCGTTTAAATAATCATTTGACGCGCAAATGCATATCGCAAAGACAATTTCGCGCAGCGCTGTCAGCGGGCGAATTAAAAAGTTGGACGAGCACAGGACTAAATTTTCTCGGGCACAAGTTTCGGCCGGCACGGCACGGCACGGCGCGGCGCGGCGCTGCGCTCGAAAGGATTTCAGTGTTTTCGGAGGCGCAGCTCGGGAAAAACCGAAAAAAAACGAGACTGATAAAATTTCGTTCGCCGTGCGCCGATGTATGCGTGATCAGAATTCGCGAAGTTTCGCGCCCGTGGTTCGAGGCGAAAGTTCGAGTGCGACACGCGCACATGACATCGCCTGTGCCGGCGTGTGTATCGAGGGTGATGGCGAGCTTTCGGGGTGGTTTCATTGTAACGACAATATCGCCTTGGGCGGCATTGGCGAGGCAGAGATGCAAATTTCGTGGAGGACGGCTCGGCTCTGCGCTTCTCTGCGCCGGACGATGAATTTAGTCCCTGCCGGTGATCACGATCATGCCCGATTCTTCAAAATATTCCGCGAAACGATCGCATTTTTGTCCAACTCCCCAACGATAAACGGCACTCCTGAAATGCTTCTGAGTTACGAGTGTGCATTCGTTCTATTTCTATTAAAATCGGAAATAATAACGATGTTAATTCAGCTCTCTTACACACACGGCGACAGAGGAAAGGCCGTAAAAGAGTGACAGGAAAACTGTTTTATAATATACTGCCTACATTGTATCACGTTGCTGAAAAAAAAACATGTACATAAATTCAGTTCGCATCATTTCCATCCTCCTTTCTATTGTGATACGTCATTATATTTTATTAAATCCAAAAAGCATTCTAATTACCGAGATATCGCATATCCATCATGCGCTATATAACATTTTCAAAAGAGTCAGAATTTTAAAACATTTCAAAACCGTTCCGCAATGCAGCAAATTATATTCTTTACGTTGTGAAACATATTACATTCATTCATAATTCGATTAACATCCAACGTATTGCATCAAGATTATCTGTTAGGCGTTATGAAAATGCCTACGGAAAACATTTAACTCGATCTCGAAGACGTTGAGACGAGACGTGTTGAGACGAGTTCATTTTTCTGTTCCAGGAGACAGCATCTTTCGCATCGCCACGGCAGGTTCCTGGTAAGTAGAGGCCCCGAAAAAATTAGTCTTCGTTCGTGCCCCCCCCCCCCCGTTCCAGCGGGGACCGGTTTCTATCCACGTAAACGCGAGCACGTACCACGGCAACGGAGCTGACAAAGCTCACCTTGAAGGGATCCGAGAGCGATCGGGCATTGTGCATCGTCGTCGATTCCTCGGCGTTCTACGCCACTGCGTACATATATGAGCGCGGGGTCTCGGCTGGCGGAGGGAAGGGGTTGACAATGCAGCTGCGACGACGATGTGGCAGCTTGGTAGTCGTTCTCGACGTAGTCGTCGTCGTAGTGCAATGTCAGTGGCGATAGCTTAGCGGTGGAGACGGAGTAGGAAGAAGGGCGGTTAGACGTACGCCAAGGGGAGGGTAGGCGAGAGAGAAAGAGAAAGGGGGAGAGAGAAAAAGAGGGAGCAAGAGAGAAAGAGCAGAAGGGAGAGGAGATAGAGAGAAAGAGAGAGAGAGAGAGAGGCCGAGGGTTGATGAGGAGAGAGAGGGGAATGGGTCGGGCGGAACTGGTAAACGGAGGTGGAGACGCTCTAAGGTACATAATCATGCTTGCTGATTCCTTCCCTAATAAAAGTCTCACTGTCAGGCCATCCCCACAGGTCGCGTCCCACTCCTCACCCTTCTATCGCTACCCTTATTCCTCGCAGTCCCTGGCACCGGAGATTCTCCTTCTCGGGGTAGCTCGGCTACTTCTCCGCGCTCGCGGATCAGCGCACCCACGTCATCGTCGACGAAAATGCAGATAGACTAACCGGGTCCGCGGGATGCAGGCCTACGCAGAGGAGGAGGAGGGTGAGGAGGAGGAGGAGGAGGTCCCGCGACACAGAGACTCTCGGCTGAGAGTCGGGACTCTTCTCCCGGTGTGCAAGAAGACAAAAGTAGCAGGGTGTATGCACCGCACCGCGCCCTACCCGACCCGGACCGGGGCAACGAGAATTACCGCGCAGAGATATACAGGTCAGAAATGCTTGCTCCAGCAGCATCTGAACTTGCAATTTTTTTCATCTCTTCCGATATCCACTCGAAGATTACGTATTCACTGTTCGTATTTGTCTTGTTCCGTGGCCTCTCTTTGTCCCGTTTGCTGGCTCCTATCCCGGCGCGCCCGTCTCGTCTCGTCTCGTCTCGTCTCGCCTCACGTTCTCGATACCTCGAGGACTTAAGCTGATGAGTGTGCGGTATCGACCAGAGACGGACGATCCTTTTCCGATCCGTATCAAGAACGATTTGCAAATTAATTTCCCTTTGTCGACGGACCATAGACGATCCGCCGATTTTCATGGTAAACAACGCGTCGTCCTCTCATGGTATTAATAGGCGTCCCATGCAACCCGGGGTCGTTCGCGCACCTTCGCGACCTCGTACGGCGCACTGCGACATTAGGAATTACAGAGAGCTTAAGATCTGCCGGCCATTGTCGGCCTCGCCAAAGTAACCGACCAGGGGGAGGCTGAAAGCTTCCCTTTACGCAGAAGTTTCTCTAAAATTAGAAACACCGAAAATATCACGACGGTGAATATGTTCTTACGATGGAACGTTCTATGATGGAAATGTTGCAAATTGCTTCATCCGCGTCATCTTTCAAGACAAATTGGCCAATCTTTTCATATTGTTTCCATGTACATTAAATTCTCTCTAATTGACACTCAGCTTGGAAGCAAACATGGACATTTTTGGGAACGGAAGGTACGATTATTCGAGCCTTGCGGCTATTTTATAGCTGCTGGCAATCGGTCACTATAAAAACGTGCTGCGAGGCTCGCGAATAATCGTGCCTCTTTTTCCCAAATTGTCAATTTTTATTTCCAAGCTGAGTGTCAATTTACTGCGATTCAAATACTTTCGATATAGTAAATGCATTTTGACATCGATAAAAATCTGAACTCTGGATGATCGTGCAACTGCAGCACGTGAAAATGGAAAGATTTTTAGCTTACGTTGTTTTCGCGCCAGAAAGAATATATCAAAACTTAGCACCGAGATAATTGAACGAACGAGAGCGTTGTAAACATCGGGCTATAAAAGTACGTGAACATTTTAGCATGGAACAGATTTTGAATATAATTCAAGTAGCACATAATGGCCCATTGTGGACGCCAAAATGTCGGTCGTGTAACACGAATCCCGAGACGAATAGGTACATGATACAGATCATCTGTACAGAAGCAAGTTAACCGAAAACCAAAGAGAGCCGGACCATTCATGGTGCGGTTACCCTCAAGGTTGTTAAGGTGAGCCAGCAGGAGTAAGGGTACAGTCTCAGTGTCTTGGTTTCAGGGTCGATTTTTAAAGGGCCGAGCGTTCGAGGGTCCTCGTCCCAGACAGGTCTCAAGGTGCATGTCTCTGGTAGATTTAAAAGGCCCTCAAGGTGATCGTGTGTAGGGAAGGAACCAGATGGCTCGACTCGCCGCACCTTTCTCACCCTTCGGCCCCTTTCCACCCACGCGTCTAGAGGCCTCGTACCGATCTCAACATGAAAATGGATTTTCTTTTCTCTCTTTCTCTCTCGCTCTCCCAACGGCTTACTCCGTTTCTGGCTGCGCTGCCATAGTTTCCTCCACGAACGTGCCATGCCCCTTCCCCCCGCGGCACGCGTTAATAACGCATCTCGATGCAGCCGAGGAAACTCCATCGTTCGACATATGTTCCAAAGTCATTGTGCGCCGCACGGGGATAGAAAGATGCAGTTGCGGCTTCTGGATCGTGAACGCATTAAATGCGGCTCCCGTTTTTAAGCTCCCGTTAGGAGAAGAACGCCCGCCCCGAAATTAAGGCCGGATATCGTCGAGAGGGCCCACCAATCTGTCACGATGACCCAACTTGGATAGATTGCGGGGGCGGCCGAATAAAAGATACGGAACGTTACCGAATTCTGTTTCCTCCTTTCGCTGGCGGCCCACTTTGTTCAGCAAACCGCTTCAGTCCTTGATGAGCCACGAGGAGCACGCGTCCCCCCCCCCCCCCCCCCCCCCCCCCCCCCCCCGGCC